GGGGGAGGAGGCAGCACCGCCAGGACCTCACAGCATCCTCCCATCCACACGGGGCCGACCCCGCTTTGCCCCAGGCTGGGGGTCCTGCTGAGCGATGGGGCTTCAGGGCTGAGACTTCTTCCTTTGGGAGAAGCCTCCGGCAGCAGCTGGGGACCCTTGGGACCTTTCTTCTCTCTCTTTTCCCCACAAAACAGACCCCCAAGGGCACCAAGTGCCTGGTTCAGCCAGCGAGAGGAGGAACAACGCACCCAGCCCGCCTTCCCAAGCGCATCGGCCAGGTGGGATTCAGGGCACGCTCCCTGTATTATTTCCAACCCCTTTCCCACCAAGATGATGCTCCAGAGCAGACGTGGAGAGTGATCTACCCATCCCCAGCAGCCACGTCCCACCAAAATACAGCCCTCTGTGGGGCTGCCCACCCCCTTCAGCCCCCCGTGCCGTGCGTGCCCCTGCCTGCAGAGCTCCCAGCCCCTGCGAAGCCCTGCGAAACACACGGGCGAGCTGGTCGGGACCAGAGAGGACTGGAAAAAGTATGCTATTCAAGCAAAAAAAAAAAAAAAAATCACGTTTGAGCTCAAACCCACAAGCATCCCACCCAAGGAGTACCATTACAAATATGGACTATGCCAACTTTGACAGTACTCTCAGATGTAAGACAATGAGTCAAATTTTACATTCAATAGCTGAACTATTTTTCCACTTCCAGGCTTCCATTCAGGGCAAAGACAAACTGGGAGAAAGCTGAAGTGGTACGACTCGGCTCCACCGAACACGGGAGCCTCCTGCTCCCCACCAGCTGCCCCCAGGAGCAAACCCTGACCGACGCGATGGAAAAGCAGACGGATGGATTGAGCTCGGTGCTCCGAGAAATGCCCCCGCTGGGGTGACCATCTGCTCTCCTGCCTTCCCATTCCTGCAGCAACCTCGGCGCTGGGTGGGAGATGCCGAAGCGCACCGGAGCTGCCTCCAGCCCAGCTGCGACCAGCCTTGCAGCCGGCCCGCCCTGAAACGCCAACCGGGCTGCGGCGGGTTGCCAAAAGCATCTAGAAACCTTCAGAGCTGCATCTTCCCCTGGACCCCTACCTCCCGCTAAAAAGGCGAGCTGGGAGGCAGCACCACCCCCACGCACGGGAGATGGGGAAAGGAAAGGAGAAACCCAACCAGGGCCAGAGCATCGCCACCGACACCGAGCCCCGCGGGCTAAACCAGCGCTGGAGGTGACCTTTGCTCCTCACCCAAACACGAGCCTGGGATTTGCTGCTCTCCTCAGCACCCCAGAGCTGCTCCCCAGCGCACACCGGAGCAGAGGGATGGGTGATGGGGGTGAGACGCGGGATGAGCGCCGGCCCCGGGCTGCCCACCCCAAGGGATAACTTCATCCCACGTTGCACTTCGCAGCCACATGGGGCTGTCCCCCCTTTTTGGCTGGGGGGAAGGAGCCGGCTCCAGTGCTCACAAATCAGGCAAAGCCTTTGGAGGCTGGAAAACAGGAGGGCCTGGCTAATTCCCTTAATTCCCACTGCCAGCTGCTGCAGGAGACCTTGGGAGCAATACAGGTGATTGCCGAGGGACCTCCACGGGCACGTGCCACTACCTCACCTTCTCGGAGGATACAAAGACAAGAGGAAGGGCCAGGGAGGCGCTGGGATGGGATGGATGCCCTGCACCTCCGTGCCACGAGGCAGCGCTGCTCAGGAATGTGCTGGAAACACCGGGACACCACCGAGAAGGTCAGGATGCTGAGGCCCAGGTTCGGGCATGCTGAGTGCCCCAAGTCTGAGCTTTTGAGGTCCACCACCCAGGCGAGGTCCGCGCATGTCCTGGCTGCTCCTGACCTCTGAGCTTCTGCCAGATGCTTTTGAGCTCCCCAAATCCAAAGGGATGGG